GTACTATACAAGAAGATATGTCAAAGAAATAATCAATCCTCCCAAGTTTCCTTCATATGCTACATCTATAGCTTTTCTTCTTCCTTCCTAATTACAACCCTTAAATAGAATTCGTGCCTCATATCGAATTTACCGAGTATCATAATTCCTCCAGGTGGTAAAGATACCTCGAGACAAGTGCTGGGCATAGAAGCCACAGGGCATAAATCTGCAAAGAAGTAAAAAGCTAACCTTTGCAAACAATATGGCTTCTCTCTCACTTACCAACTTTACATTTCCCTGTATGGCCCCGGAAGATGACTGGTTAGCCAGAGACGGGTAAGATTCCTCAAGGGAGGAACAACCTAAGACAGGCACAGTCGCAGGGGGGCCATCAGGTGAGAATTTGGGGATCAACAGAGGTGAGGCTCAGAACCTCACCCCCCCTGCTTTGAGAGAAATCTTCTGCATCCGTGGATGTCTTGCTGCCCTTGTCTAGCCTGGATTAATACTTAGTCCATAGGCACACACCTGATCATCTGATCATCTACATTTGCCTTCTTACAGCACTAAACTATGTTTTCTACCTTTATCTTGCATCTACCTACCACTTCAGCATTTTATTAAAAATAAAAATAATAATAATAATAGGAGAAATGTGGGATCAACATATAAATCAAGTACAAAAATCAAATGAATATTCATATTTGACCTGATTGTTTATAGGTCATAATGCATGATCAAAACCGAAAGTTTCTGTGATGAATGCCCTTGTACTGTTCACCATGTAAGAATTTATTCACTATGTAAGAATTCGTTCACCATGTAAGAACTTGTTCGTTATGCTTCAGAAGATTGGAGACTGACGAGAATTAGGCTTGAGATGGATTAATGATTGTACATTGAGCATTGACCCCCCTATACTGAATTTTATTGTTGTTAACAACCATTTGATCAATAAATATGAGGGATGCCCTCTCAAAAAAAAAAAAAAAGAGATTGTCAAAGTAGATTTAAAAAACAAAGCCCAACTATACATTGTCTACAAGAAACCCACTTTAATTATAAAGACTCTTGTAGGTCAAAAAAATATTAAGGGGTGAAAGAAGATACATTATCCTAATACTAATCAAAAGAAAGCTAGAATAGCTAATTTAATTTCAGACTCAGGAGACTACAGAAAAAGGGAAGTTATTAGATATAAAAAGCGCCAGTACATAAAAATGAAGGGACCATTTTTCCAATAAAACACAGCAATCCTAAATATTTATGTATCTAACAAAAGTATCAAAATAATCTTTTTTTGAGGCAAAAACTGATGGAATGGAAAAAAGAAATAGACCAGTCCACTATTATACTTGGAAACTTCAAACATTTCTGTTAGTAACTGATAGAACAAGCAGGCACAATGGTAAGTATATAGCTGACCTGAAGAGCCTTAGCAATTTACTCTTTATACTTGACATTTAGAGAATACTCCATCCAGCAATAGGAGAATATACATCCTTCTCAATCTCATATGGAACACCCATCAAGGCAAACCACATTATCGGCTAAAAAAGATACACCTTAAAATTTTAAAGAATACAAGTCACAGAACGTATATTCTGAAATCTCAATAAGAATTAAAATGCAAATCAATAAAAGAGAGCTCAAAAATATTGTCAGTTTTGGAGATTAAATAATATGCTTCAAAATTACACAAGTCAAAAAAGAAGTCTCAAGAGAAATAAAAAATATTTTGAACTAATGAAAATTTGAAAGATGATGCTAAAGTAGTTCTTAGAGAAATATTAGATGGGGCTAAAATCAATAACCTAAACATCCACCTTTGGAAATAGAGACAGAAAAATTATATAATCTTAAAGCATGCAAAAGAAAAAGAAATAATAAAAACTAGGGCAAAAATCAGTGAAATTGAAGTGGGAAAATAACAAGGAACACAAAATAAGGTGACCTCAAAGAAGCACACACCAAGACACATTATAATCAAATTGCAGAATTTAAAGACAGAGAATTTTGACTCCCATAAGACTCTCAGAGGATTTTTTAACAGAAACCTTGTATATCTGAAGGAGTGGCATGATACATTCAAAGTACTGAAAAGAAAGAAAACTGCCAACCAACCAAGACTACTGTATCTGGAAAAACTGTCCCTTAAAAATGAAGGAGAATTTGTGACAATATGAGGGCATTATGCTAAGTGAAATAAGTCAGACAGAGAAAGATAAATAGCACTTCTGATCTCAATTCTATGTGGAATCTATACAAACAAACAAAACTCCCAAACACCAAGCTCTAAGTACAGAGAACAGATTGGTGGTTGTCAGAGGTGGAAGTGGGGTGTGGGCAAAATGGGTGAAGGTGGTCAGAAGGTACAAAAATTTCCAGTTATAAAATAAAAAGTCATGAGGTGTAATGTACAGCATGGTGACTACAGTTAATATTGCATATTCGAAAGTTGCTAACAAAATAGATCTTAAAAGTTTTTATCACAACAAAAAAAGTTTGTAACTATTGTATGTTGACAGATTGTTCACTAGGCTTATCATGATGATCACTTCAAAATATATGCAAATACCAAATCATGTTGTAAACCTGAATAAATATGATGTGTATCAATTATACCTCAATAAAAATAAATAAATTTCTTCAAACAAAAACTTGGAGAAAGATTTTCTCAAACAAAAGCTGAGGGAGTTCATCACCAATAGACTTACCTTACAAGAAATGATAGACAGTCCTTCAAGTTAAAGTGAAGTGATGTTAAACAGCAACACAATAGCATAAGAAAGTATGAAACATGGTAAAGGTAAATATATAGACAATGCGATTAATATTACTGTATTACTGTAATGGTGGTGGCTAAATTACTTTTAATTCTAATCTAAAAGTTAAAAGTATTAAAAGTAACTATAAGTTTATGTTAATGGATACACAATATAAATAGATGTAAATTGTGATATTAATAACTGTGTGGGTGGGAAAGTAAAAGTGTAGACTTTTTGTATGCAAGTGAGATTGTATCAGCTTTAAAAACACTATTATAATTATGAGATATTTTGTGTAAGCCTGATGATGACCACAAAGGAAATACCTACAGAAACTACCCAAAAGAAGAAAAAAGTATCAGATAAACAAACAAAACAAAAAACCAAGAAAACACAAGGAAAGACAGCAAGAGAGAAGAGGGACAAATGAACTACAAGATAAACAGAAAACAGTTTTAAAAATGGCAATAGTATTTTCTTCCCCATCAACAATTATTTAAATGTAAACACATTAAATTTTTCAATCAGAAGATATAAAGTGGCTAAGTGGATAAAAAACCAAGATCCAGTTATATGCTGCCTATAAGAAATTAACTTTAGATATGAAGACACATATAAATTGAAAGTGAAGGGATAGAAAAAGATATCCCATGAAAATGGTAATCAAGAGAAAGCAGGGGTGTCTATACTTATATCAGATAAAATAGACTTTAAATAAAAACCTGTCTCTCAACAGAAAGAAGATCATTATATAATGATAAGGTCAATTTAAGAGGAAATTGTAACAATTTTAAATGTATATGCACTCTACATCAGAGCACCTAAATATATATAGCAAATATTGATATATTGAAGGGAGAAATTAACAATACAATAAGAGTAGAAGACTTCAATGCCCCACTTCAATAATGGATATAACAGTCAGTCAAAAAAATCAATAAAGAAATAGAGATCTGAACAACATGGTAGACAAAATGGACCTATAAAGAACTTTTTATACAGACCAGACATATACAAACTTTCCATCCAATAGCAGAAATACATATTCTTCTTAAGCACACATGGAACATTATCCAGAATAGATCACATGCTGGGTCACAAAAGAAGTCTCAACAAATTCAAGATTAAAATCTTGCCAAGTACCTTTTCTAACCACAATGGAATATAACTGGAATTCAATAACAGTAAGAAAATGGGAAGTTAACAATATTCTATTTAAACTAAATACACTCTTGAACAATTATTGAGTAAAAGAGAAAAATCCAAAGGGGATTTAAAAAATATCTCAAGAGAAATGAACATAAATACACACCATACCAAACCTTGTGGGATGCAACAAAGAAGTACTAAGAGGGAAGTTTATAGTGATAAACACCTACATTAAAAAAAGAAGAAAGATCTCAAACATCTACCTTTACACCTTAAGTGACTAGAAAAAGAACAGCAAAGTAAGCTTAAAGTCAACAGGAGGAAGACAATAGTACAGAGTAGAGCCAAAATAAATCAAGATAATAGCAAAAGCCAACAAAATAAGAGTTGGTTTTATGAAAAGATAAAACCAACAAACACCTAGCTAGACAGGCTAAGAGAAAAAGAGAGAAGACTCAAAATGAGAGATGAAAGAGGAAACGCTATAACAGACAGCTCGGAAGTAAAAAGAATTATAAGGAACTATTACTGACAACTATATACCAACAAACTGGATAACCTAGAAGAAATGGGTAAATTCCTGGAAAGATACAATATACCAAGGTTGGATCAGAAGAAATGGAAAGACTGAATAGACCAATAAAAAATAAGAATATTGAATCAGTGATCAAAAACTCCCAAAAAAGAAAATCCCAGGGCCAGATGGCTTCATGGGTGCATTCAACCAAGCATTCAAAGAATTAATACCAATCCTTCTTAAACTCTTGAAAAAGAAAAGAGAAAATATTTCCAAATTCACTTTATAAGGCCTTCACCTTGATATCAAAACCAGATAAAGATACCATATGAAAAGAAATAACAAGCAATATCCATAATGAACATTGATACAAAAGTCCATAATAACATTCTATTCAAATAAGTTCAGAAGCACACTAACAGGATTATACACCATGACCAAGTGGGATTTATCTCTGGTATGCAAGGATGATTCAATATACACAAACCAGCCAATGTGATACAACACATTAACAGAATGAAATACATAAACCACATTAGCATCCCAATTGATGCAGAAAAAAAGCATGTAATAAAGTGCAATGTATGCTTACCTTGCAGGAGAAGTACCACGATCACGAAGGTGGTTTACCCAGGGTGCGGTTTATCCACTCCGGATGTGCTGACCCCTGCGATTTCCCCACATGTGGGAAACTCGGCTGCATCATTTCTAGTAGTGGGGGACTCCATTTCTAGTAGCGTTTGTGCTTTCCCCTAATTAAAAAAAAATGCAATATCCATTCTTTTAAAAACTCTCAACAAAAGAGGAATAGAAGAAACTTACCCTAACACAGTAAAATCATCTATAAAAAGTACATAGCTAACATAATCAAGCTAAGATGTTTTTCTCTAAGATCTGGCATAAGGTAAGGATGCCTACTTTTGCTATTTCTCTTCAACATAGTACTGGAAGTCCCAGACAGAGCAGTTTGACAAAAATAAGAAATAAAAGACATCCAAACTGGAAAGAAAGAACTTGTATTATCTCTATTCTAAGATGGTAAGACCATATATATATATATATACAGAAAACCCGAAAGACTCAACAAAAATTCTGTAGAACTAATAAACAAATTCATTCAAGTTACAGGATGAAAATCAACATACAAAAATCAGTGATCTTTCTATACACTAACAATGAACTATCTAGAAAGAAAATTAAGAAAATACTGTTTACAATGGCAATAAAAAGAATAAAACACTGAGGAATAAACTTAACTGAAGATAAAAGACTTGTTCATTGAAAATTATAAAACACTAATGAAGGAAATTAAAGAATTACAGATAAATGGAAAAAATATCCTATTGGAATGTTTGTCCTTTTGGATTGGAAGAATTAATACTGTTAAAATGTCTGTACTACCCAAAGTGATCTACAGGTTCAATGCAATCTTATCAAAATCCCAATGGTACTCTTTACAGAAGAAAATCCTAAAATCCATATGGACACATCACATCTCAAAATATATATTACAAAGCTACAGCAACCAAGACAGTTTGGTATTGTTGTAAAGACACACATATAGACCAATGGAACATAGAGAGGTCAGAAATAAATCAATGCATTTACTGTCAACTAATATTCAATATGAGTACAAGCACACAAAATGGAGAAATGATAGTCTCTTCAATAAATGGTGTTGGGAAACTGAATATCCACATGTAGAAGAATGAAACTGGACCTTTATCTTATACCATATTAAAAAATTAACTAAGTAGATTAATGACTTAAACATAAGAGATGATACAAAAAAACTATTTGAAGAAAACCTAAAGACAAAACTTCCTAAGTTGGCGATGATTTTTGTGATATGACACCAAAAATACAGGCAACAAAAGCAAAAATAAGCAAGTAGGATTGATTAAAAAATTAAAAAGCTTCTGCACAGCAAAGGAAACAATCAACAAGGTGAAAAGGCAACATATGGAATGAGAGAACATATTTTCAAGTCATATAACTGATAAGGGATTAATATCCAAAATATGCCAGGAATCATACAACTCAAGACCAAAAAAGAAAAAACAACACAACACAAAATGAAACCTTCCGAACCGACCAACCACACTAACAAAAACAATTAGTCCAGTTAAAAATTGGGCAAAGGTCATGAATAGACATTTCTCAAAATAAGACATACAAATTGACAACAGGTTTATGAAAGCTGCTCAACTCTTCATCACAAAAACGCAAATCAAAACCACCATGAGCTATTGCCTCACACCTGTGAGGGTGGCTGTTACCAAAAGGGCAAAAGATGAGTGTTGGTGAGGGTGTGGAGGAAAGGGGACCCTTGAACTCTGTTCGTGGGAATGTAAATTGATAGAATCACTATGGACAACAGTATGGAGGTTGCTCACAAAATTAAAAATAGAAGTATTGTTTGCACCTGAAACCCACTTTTGGATAGATGTATATACACAAAGAAAGGATACCTGCACCCCCATGTTTATTGCAGCATTATTCACAATAGCCAAGATATGGAATCACCCTAAATGCATATCAATCACATCCAGAAAATGTGATTGTATTTTCTTTATCCATTCATATATTTATCTTGCCACTTGCAACAATGTAGATGAATCTGGAGGACATATGCTAAATGAAATAAGCCAGATACAGAAAGACAATTACTGCATGACATCCTGTACATGTGGAATCTAAAATACGTCAAACTCATAGAAGTAGAGAGTAGAATGGTGTTTTCAAGTAGTTGGAGGCAGGGAGAAATGGGGAGATGTTAGTAAAAGAGTACAAAGTTTCAGGTATGCAAGATGAATAAGTTCCAGAGACTTGCTAAAGAGCATGCTGACTACAGTTAACAGTACTGTACTGTACACTTGAAATTGCTAAACTTAAGCATTCTCACCAAAAAAGAAAAAAGAAATGAAAGGAAGGAAGAAAGGAAGGAGGCAGGGGAGAAAGGAAAGAAAATCGTAACTATGTAGAAGTGATGGATGTTAATTAGCTTGATTGTATGAGCATTTTACAATGTGTACATATATCAAAACATTAAATTGATGCCTTAAATATATACAACCTTTATTTTTCTCAATTGTATAATTTTGTCAATTATACAATAAAGCTGAAAAAATGTATTAAGGGGAGGGGAAATAAGTAACTTTGGAAATGAGCAGAATCTGTAAGACTAAGGCAAAAGGAATTGTATGGATATTCTAGTTGATAAAGTCATCTCCTACGGGGACATAAGTTAGTAATTCTACATGGTTTAACACTTACATATACTGGAACTGAACAATTAAATAAATGAATGGCTGTTGGGAGGAGTCAGATTCACACTGCTGAAGTGGGAAGTTAAAAGTAAGCAAGGGGAGGAACCTATAATGATCCATGTGGTAATAGATTAGGGTTAATGAGAATATGGGCATATGTTTAATGTAATGTAGGTACAGATGGCTATGTGTATAGTCACAGACTTGAATAAACACGGGTTAGTGTCACAATATATTTCCTTGCTCTGTCAGTTAGGAGGGCCTGAAACAATGACACTTCAGTAACAGCAAGCCCTTCAGTGACTTGATCTTGGTTTCTATTATTATTCTCCAATAAAAAGAACTGGGGTCCTTGGAGAAATTGCTGATTCTTGGGCTAGGGTGGGAAATGTAGAAGATGAGCCAGATAATTTTTAGTATCAGAANAAAAAAAAAAAAAAAAAAACAACCCATAATGATTGGGAGCATGTCAAAGAGGTACAGAAGCCAACAGAAAGCTCCAATGGCCAAAACTGGAACAATTTAAGCAATCGAGTAAGTAACATAGAATTGAATTATAACTGAAAGCATAAAATAAATATCCATTGGATCATACTGATATAAGTGAATGATTGACTAAATAAACAAATGGGGAAAATAGACAAATCTCTAGTGCAGAAGAATTCCAAATACACTTTGTAGCTATCCTGCTGATGGAATCTAACTCAGGAGATGGAACGTAACTCCCCTCTTCTTAATTGTGGTTTGCTTATGGTGACTTTCTTCCAAAGACTACAAAATGGAAAGAGAGGATAAAAGAGTAATGTTTTGATGGAAAAATATGACAAACACTATCTTAAGTTAAGTGACTGAGGTTTATCATCAACAATGATAAGTCATATTGATAGTAAGTGCCCTTGACATGAAGGATCATAATGATAATTTACTCCTTTGGTCTACCTCTTAAAACACATTACCCCAGTCTAATCATAAGAAAAACATCAAACAAATCTCAATTAAACGGTTTTCTACAAAATGTTGGACAAGTAATCCTCAAAACTAACAAGGTTTTAAAAAAACAAAGAAAGTCCGAAAACTATCACAACCAAAATAAGTCTAAACAGACATGACTACAAATGTTATGTGGTTCCTGGATGGAATCTTGGAATGTAAAAAATGGGGAAAAATTAGGAAATCTAAATAACATATGGACTTTATTTATAATAATGTATCAATATTGGTTGTGAGAATGTAAGATATTAATGAAGAAAACTGAGTGTGGAGGATATGGGACTCTTCTGTATTACCTGCAGTAATTCTGAAAATCCAAAACTTTCAAAATTAGAAATTTATTTTAAAAGTTAATAGGGCATGTTTCATGTGGGTCTATTTCTGGGTTCTCTATTCTGCTTCAATGATTGGCGGGCCTGCTCCTCTGCCAGCACCGTGCTGTCTTGCTTACTATAGCCATATTGCATGCCTTAACATTGGGAAGAAGGATTCCTCCCACTCAAGTTTTTTTCAAAAAATTTTTGATATTCCAATTCTTGTGCTTTTCCATACAAAGATAAAAATAATCAAAGCTTGTATAATTCTATTTTAAAAACTTGATGAAATTTTCATAGTAATTGTATTGAACCTATACATGGATTTGTGGAGAACTGATATCTTTACTATGTTCAATCTTTCATGAGCATGTTATGTCTCTCCATTAATTTTGGTCTTCTTTGATTTCTCTCATCACTGGTTTATAACTTTATTACACAGATTTCATACATGTTTTATTAGCTTTTTACTGAATTTTTTTATTACTTTTGGACCAACTGTAGATGCTATTGCATTTTTTTTTGTTTTCCACTTGTTTGTTACCAGTATACAGAAATGCAGATGCTTTTTACATTTTGGTTTTCTACCCAATGCCATTACTGAATTAATGTAGACAATCATTAATGTAGACATCCTATGTAGACAATCATATTGTCCACAAGTAGAGACTGTTGTATTTCTTTTTTTCTTTTAATTCTGTTTTATTGCCTTTTTATTTTGTTTCCTTGCCTTAGTGTAGTAGCTAGAGCTTCTGCTAATGTGCAGAATAAGAGTGGTGAGAGCAGACACTTTTCCCTTACTTCCAATCTTTGAAGGAAAGTATCCAGCCTTTCACCATTAAGTATGATGTTAGATATAGGTTTTCAAAAAGAATATACAAGTATCTATAAGTACATAGATACAAAAAGTCCAAAATACTGCCCTATATGCTAATAAAGCACCAAATCTCTGTCCTTTTAAGTGCTCCAGCCATAAACTTGTATAGAAAGTGAACTAAAGGTAAATACAACACTGCACCAGAGGCAGATTTACATTACTTATGGTTGGCTTCATAGAAATAGTAATCTTCTTTAACGTTTTCCTGGAAGTAGGACTAGTGAGGGCTCAAGCCTCAGACACCATTCCTAAGTGTGCAGCCTACAAGTTTCACCAGCTTTCTTTTTACTATGGTAAAATATACA